AGATGCTTTTGGTGCTCTGTCTGAGGAAGAAAAGGCATTTCTTGGCAAAACAGTTTTCACTGGAGTTGTGTTAGCCGAGGATCCTAGTATTTCAGCCTCAGCAGCCTCTAATACTGACTGGGACATGAGCTGGCTCTCTGGCATCAGTGGCTGATCTAGACTGGTGTCAGCTTCAAGCCTCTCCAACTGACGTAAAATCTGAAAAAAGAAAGAATTGAGACAGGACTTTAATGAAAGAAAAAAAAAAACCTCATGAGCGATTCAATTTCTCAACTTTAAACTTCCGTAGGTGACAGTTAAGCAAAAGGCTTTATGATTAGTAAGGGAATCTAACTACACATGCATTTGTTCTGATATTATAAACAGACATCTATTTGGATATTTGAACCATCTGCATTTCTAGTCTGTGCCTCACGTGTAAGTGTGCTCAGTGATTAAAGGAAACCCCACCCCAAAGAATAAGTGTAGGTGTTCTGAAACATGAGATTTATTCCTGCCTATTGATGTAGAATATTCCTATATACAAATGAAGATATACGTGGAATGATATAATCTCTTTTGGCCCCAAATGTCAAAACCTTTACTTATAAATGAGGGAAAATTATTGCTGAGAACGTAACAATTATATTTGGTGAAAAATATGTATACTGGAGAACATTATGTATAAACTCATTTATTAAAAATACTAAAACAGGAAAATGACAAATTCATTTTGGCAAAACCTTCACCCCAGGAGAGCAACAACTTATTTATGCAATTTCATTTTGACAATTACAATACGAAGAAAAAAACAGGTGAATGAAATATTTCATCACTACACACACTTGGAAAGGAAGTATCCATAAATTTGAATGCATTTACTTGATAAATGACTATAGTACGTCACGTTAAAAACAAATAATATACACATCCACACACAATGAATATTCATAGACATACGTATGAATATGCATTGATATGAATATCCATACCTTGAGAGACTTTGCCCTGATAGCTTTATCTTGGCTACCCTGCATTGATGTAAGGTGAGAACTGAGAAGAATAAGAGCCACGTCGGACGAGATTAAATCCTCTTTCAGAATGCCTTCGATGCCAAACAAAGCTGGAAAATATAATAATACAACAGTAAACAACTAGAATTTGACAAAACAATTTTCAGGCCCAAATGAAATGATATAAAGTTTCTTGTCCCTTTTCTTTACTTTTTACCTTTACAAATTTTACAGACTTCAATACATTAATGAAACCGTATATCAAAATTCCACTTGGGCCTGGTATTATTGTCAATTAACATGAACTGTAAATTAGAAATATAAAACGGTAAAAAACCCACCCTTGTTAATCAGAAAAATCTCAATAGGAATGGTTTGAGTATAACGGACGATTATGGTTTAGCTCCGATTAATCATAAAAGTAAGGTTATTGATTATCAAAGATAAACATAGGAAATAAAGTATGTGATATTATGTGTTAATTCTTCATTGATTTTGTTGTAGCTATCTTGTTTGAAACTTTCTTAGATTCATAAAGTTATCACTTTGTTTCACAATGAAAATAATCCACAAAGAATCCACAAAGAATCATGTTTTTTTTAAATTCCAATATACATGTTTAAATAACATTTAAAGGGATAGTTAAATTCTGTTGCAGAGGGCGCTACACAAAATAATTTTTTGGTGAGATAATGAAAAACTGGGTCCCAAATTTCAAAGAACATACAATTTAAATGACAAATTCATCTTTGTTTGATCAAAATCGGTTCAGAGACGGCTGAAATATCCATAATTATAACGATTTCTAATATTTGTGTACCACCACAAATATTCCATAATTTGAAAAAGCCGTTGAAAACGCGAAATAGCGCCTTTCACGTTGTATTTCAGCCAATGCCGGTGTTGGTTTTTTGTTGGCTTTTTCGTGTAGGTTATATTAAGCCCAATCAGCCGTCCCATGTTTTGTTATTATTAATTAATTAATTAACTAACGGTCACCATATTTTTTTTGAAAGTGCAGCTGAATTGGTATCATATTGGCTAAATTTCACACATTTTGGGGTCTAAAATTACCTTCATAGCAATTTTAAATCCTCAAAGGGCACGAGAAATGTCATAGTTAAGAGCAATAACCATGCACTTTGAAGGCAATTGCGGTCTGAAAACATAACTCAACTATAACTTCAAGTGAGAAAGAAAGAAAACAATTCTGCAATACAATTCGTTGAGAAAGCAATTTTGAAACCTGGAGAAACTCATCACAGAATCGTTCTAATAAATGTTCTATTATACACAAGAATGCTCTAAGAAATATGCAACAAACAAAGAAACAGATTGATCGTGCGATACTTACTAACTGGGTGCTATGGGATAATGTTCTACGTCTACTTCTATGGTAATACTCATCAACGCCTGTTCAGCATCTAGATGAGGGTAAAGCATAGAGTTGTTATATACATCTCTATGCTATACGGTTCCTGAAAAGGGAACTAAATTGTTTCAAGAGCCACCTTGAACTGCTCCAAAGAAGGGAGTTCAACGAAGATTTGAGGTAGCTCGTCCCAGTCCTTAAGTGTCCTGGGGGAAATAACTAAATTTGTAAGTGTCCATTGAAGAGCCTAGTCTCATATATCGTTATTGTTGACTCCTCCTTGTAGTTCGCTCTCTCGGTTTGATGTAATCCGGTATTGGTATCGCAATTTTGTTATTCGCTATTTTGTAGAACATTGACAAACGTGCCCGTTTTCTTCTTTCTTCAAGAGTTGGGAGATTAAATTGTTTTCGCATGGATGTTACACTGGCATCACGCTGGTAGTTTCCACAAATGAAACGAAGTACACGTCTTTGGACCTTCTCTAGTTGGTCTATCTGATTCCGCTTGTTGGGGTCCCATACTACCGAAGCATACTCTAGCTGGGACCGTACGAGGGAGATGTATGCCCGTTTTTTCACTTCTGTTGGACATTGTCTTCCGAGATTTCTCCGAATGAATCCAAGGGTCCTCGAGGCCTTGTTTGTGACTGCATCTACATGCGATTTCCAGCTTAGACGCTCATGTAGCTATATATCACCCTCACCTTCGGTTCTGGCGATATATGTCGTATTGCCTAGAAGGCAGTCAATATTACTTAAATATTTTTTTATCCTGGAAGGAATAATTTAGCAACCGTTGGCCACAAATCAGCGTTAAATTAAAACGTGTTTATGTTTTTCATAGTGATCCAAAAACAATCAACATTTTACAAATTTTAAGTACACACAAACAGGTTATTTATTTTCTTTATGTGGGAAAAAAGAAAAAATAATGTCTTTTTCATAGCCGGTAGTGCTTTGAACTCAAATTTCATCTGACTGACTAAATGTTTACCCAGCCATGAGTCTGGCTTTTCATGGTTGCCTGATTCCCAACTGTTAGCAGCCTGGATTTACAAAATATTCAGAGACTCGTGAAATATTGTTGTACAAAATTAACAAATTATTATAATCTAGTGAAAATTATTAAACAAACATAAATAAATATTAAAGAGATTTGATGATAGAGGTGCTAATATACAGTTAATGCAGGATATAGGAATATGAGGGCTTGAGGGGTAACAATTTTCAGTAAAGATGATCATAAAAGCCTTCATCATCAATGAAAACAAATTCTAATATTGATCATATGAAGGATGTGCAATATTCCTACTCCTCAACATCGATTGCATCCAAGACTTCCACAAATATGAAAAGAGACAATTTAAAAGCACTAGTTATTCACAGCTCTCCCTTCTTTCTGTGGTTGTACTCACAATGTAAAGTATATGAGCAGTGCTATGGAGATACCACATAAGATGCCTTCAAACATTTTTCACGATTGCTTATCTTTCTTTGTATCTTAACAAGTGAAAAAGAGTAATTATTCAATGATTACCAGTTCTAAAAATAATCATATTAAGCCATTTTAAGTAACACTTAGTAACACTAACCAAGACGTATTTCATTTGTTTGCTTTCTTCAGTGTTTTCTCTGTTGTTTTTCTCTTGTTACGTAACACAAATCACTTAGCCTCTAAAATATGTCCATGATGTCCAAAATATGTCCATATGTCCATTTACATGTAAGTTGATCTTCTTTAAATTTTGTTCTTTCTTTATATGGTCTAAATGAAACCATAACTTAATATTCACAAAGAAATTTCTAAGTCAATATATGTATATATATATGCACTTCATCGATACATTTCATTTCTGGTTTGCAAACTGTGTTATGTAGTATGATTATATTTTGTGGTTGTTTTGGGGTACTTTTCTTTGATATCAATTTCAAACCTCTTACCATGCAGTTATAACTTTCCTTGTTGTTGTTTATTAGCTTTAGGGTGTGTGTGTGTGTGTGTGTGTGCGTGTGTGTGCGTGTGTGTGTGTGTGAGGGTGGGGTGTGCGACTCGTGTATGTCATTATGTTTCATAAATCATAATCCTTTCCTGCAGGTGAAATTGTGTGGACTTTGGACTAAACATTCAAGAGCACAGAGAATTTGATCATTCTTTACACCATAAGGGCTGTTCACACACAAAGCATAATCACAAAATTATTGATAACCTGACAAAGAAAGTCCAAGCAAATATATAAACTAAACATGGTTCAACCAACCAACCAGAAAGGAAATGAGAGAATAATGGTTGCATAGCTGAAATCAAGTTCCTCACTGCTCTACTTTGGAGTAAGCTACCCAACCTTTATTCTATGATTTTGTATTTATTTTCACGAGAGTTGTTTAAAAAATGATTATGTATATACATACTTATCTCACAATGTGTACATGTAAATAAGCAGGATTTGAAACAGGAATCAAATACAACATTTTCCTGCACTTAATTCATTTTATTTTATTTCATTTATTTAAATCCATATTTCATACAACGTGTGAATGGGCCTAATGATGACGTGTATGTTGGAACCATTCCAACTTTCATTGCAAGCTCAATTTCTCTGTTGTGATGAGGATCTTGGAAGGTGCAGGCGGGTAGGCATACTGTCCTCTAAAAAGTAAACAGCTGTGTGTGTGGTTATCATTGGAGCTGCATATAACTTCATGTTTTACAAGAAGAATCTTTAATTAAGCAACAAATGATCTGAAGACAAAGAGTTAGGTAAGTGTATAACATGTTTTTCATGACCATCTCTGCTGCATGAGCGAATGATACTACCTACTCACAAAGAAGTATATCAAACAAAAGTCAGAGTATATCTGTTCTGAACTTAAAGTACCTACTGGGCTATTGGTGATCCATTCTTTGCTCCAAGCTTTATATACTGTTTTGATCTCAAAAATATTATCGAGGTGTCGTGATATAGTGGTTCATTCCCTTGAATCTCAATCCAAGGGGATAAGGGGATGAATCCCACCCTGGCACTAACATCTTTTGGCAATAGATTAAATCACATGTGCCACTCTTCACTTAGATGTAAATGGGTACCTGGCAATTGCTGGCATAAAATTAATTGCAGCAGGGAGAACAGCACTGATGCTGATGAGCTAGGCTAGCTTTCCTGGGTAAACAAAATTATTATACTATCGCCAGCATATGGTAATAATAATAATAACTAGAAATGTAATTCGTCATGAGGACGAATTAGGTGGTCTGTCTTCAATTCTCATGATCATGCTCATCATTAATTCAATGATCCAATATGTGTTAATGTAAAATGATGTATTAAGATATGAATTGATGAATGAAGTACTGATGAGCTGATGAACTGATAGATTGAACTGATGTGAATTGAACTGAATTGATGAGCTAAACTGATGAACTGACGAATGAACTGGTGAACTGATAGATTGAACTGTGACCTGAACTAGAGTGATAACATAACTGCTGAACAAAATATCGAGAAATGATTATGATCAAAATCATGATCATAACGAAATTTAATGAAATAAGAAATGATGTAAATATGAAGCAAAGTATTGGGAAATTAACTCCTTGATGATCATGATGACGAAAGAATGATGAATGAATGTTGATGATTATCATCATGATGATGGTCATGATGATGATAATGATGATGATCATGACTCGAACCAGGGATTTCGAGGTCGGAAGTCAAGTGCGTTATCGATATACCAAAACATTTCCCATAGCGATTACACATGACCAGAAAATGGAATTCTCAATTCCCACTTTATGAGCATGATCCCGGCATCTGATCGAAGAATAAAGGGCACATTTGTAATAGCTTATTGTCTCAGCTTCAACGAAGAGCTTGCAACCTATTTTGAAAAATTACGGTGGGTGAACTTTCAAAAGTCAATGAGACATGAGGGCTCCAATGAAAGAGCTAGTGATAACGTACGTCGGGGTGGATGTGCTTTTCGTTTAAACAAAAAATGAATTTTTAACGATTTTAAAAAAAAACGTCCATAGGCTAACATGTAAGGCTGCTGGCTCTGATCATGCTCTGACGATAGGGGGCGTTGTGAAATGAGACTAAACGGAGCCATATGGAAGACTTGATGACCTTGAAAATGTCACGTCTCATGACAATGACCTATGACTGTGCCAAAATTGAAAGAAATTGACTAAACTGATCTTGAGTTATCGGAACCAAAAGGGGGAGAAATAAATAAACATAAATAAAGAAAGAAAATTCTGACGAAAACAATTGGGTTATGATAGGGTTTTAGGTTATAGTTTGGGTTGGTAAGACTATAGAGCTAAGGGATAGGTATACAGTGTTGGGTCCTGGGTGGAAAATATATAAATTAGCAATAGCTAGTGATCATAGACCAACTTTATCACCACAATTTGTGTCGTACAATCCACCTACTCTAATTTTTCTTCTAATTCCAGGCAACTGATTACGTGCATCTAAAGCTACTCCAATGGCCATTTCTACACCACATCTGAATCGTAAATGGAGATATATGTTCAGCAGGTTATCGCTGTTTCATGAAATTGAAATTGCGCCTGATGATAAAGGAAGAGAATTAGTCAGAATCTTCAGTTGACGGATCCATCAAAAAAAAAGCTGGAACACAAAACAGTACATTGCGCCTACAGTTACTGCAGAATTCATGCCTGTGTATGTGACAGAACCAGATTATGTATGAATGCTAGCTAAAGCATAGATTGTTTACATTTTGGACACATCACACCATCTGAAAATTTGCTATTGAGTTGGATGTCAAAGGTGCAACATAACTGTTTGTGAATTATATAGAATTCTGACAATCATTTTCTCCTCTTCGCAGGCGAAGAACCTTTCAGTATTTTGGAGGGAAATCTGAATCTAACCCTAATTCAATATGTTGAAAGTTTTGTTTCATTCCTTGACCGGTGGATTTAATATTCCATTATTATTAATTTCTATTATTCTCATAAATTTATATGGATGTAAATCCACACAATTATCTGAAATACAAGGGCAAGACGCTAACTTGATTTTCCCATACCCATGTGATAGTACAGAAGTCACATTACAGCATTCGAACGGAGACCCATTTTATCGCTCGACAGACGGGTCATCGCTGTCATTGCCTGGAGGTCAGCTCCATAGATTCCAAGTGCAGAATAGAAACAAAAATGGAAACTGCTCTCTGGATCTTACAATAATTAATCTAATGAGAATTGATGCAGGGAAATACATCTCATTGGTTTACAAGAATGGGCAGTCAATTGTTGATCACACAACCAGAGTTGGGCTGCAAATAGACTATCCTCCTGGTAAGGCATCATGTGTTGAGAGTGAAGGAAAGGGTGGAGACTGGGTCTCAATAGACTGTACAGCTAATGTTGGTAGTCTATCAGGAAAGATTGAATGCTATCAGGGTGGTGTATGGATGCCTTCCCTAACTGACCCCATTGAAACTGTCACTTTATTAACACAGACCATTCTGATCAGAAAATCACAGCCAGTATTTTGCTGCTCTTCTACTTTAGATGAATACAAACTAAGATGTGAATGTAATGATACTGGCCTGTATAAAGCTGATGATGATATCAATGATCCTTGTCCTCCTTTAGAAATTACAACAATGGCTCATTTTCCAACTCTCACAGAAAACAATCAAAGTGATTATTATTCCACCATGATGTCCTCCATTCCGATTAATACGAAACATTGCATCTCCACAAAATGTGTGAACATTCACTCAATTTTCTGGCCTATTGAAGTCATAGTTCTAATCTTGAGTTTGTTTTTCCACTACAAAATTAAAACTAAGATCAGAAATAATAATAATAACGATAAAGATCCTCCCATTCCTTTACAATTGAATACATCACTACTTCCGACGATGAAAAATGGATCAAGAAAAAAAAAAGAATTTGTGTAAATTCTAATTAGTACGTACGTACACAATACTTTGAGGAACATTCAACGGAAAATGCTTCAATACACTTTAATGAAGACTCCAAACGAAATAATGGAGATCTCATACTAATTTCAAGCTCGGTTTCGAATTGTACTGAATTGTGAGAAAATTAAAGAGTATACACTCTATTTACATCTAATTAGAATCCCGTTAATGCTAGAAAATCGTGAATTACCTTCAAATTATAATTTCCTTTAGAGGAAGATTAATAACAATTTGAAAAATTTTGATATAATTATCCATACTTTACTGAGACAAGTTCCACTAGAAAAAAAGACAAAAAGATTGCACAAAAATACTAGCTTGGTTTGAATGGCTTCCATTCAATAAGTCTATATTGTCAATATTTGCTTTACTGAAGATTTTACTTATGGGTTTGTAGAAAAAGTGGACCAGCCTAGATAAGTCATGGCCTTTTCTGGTCCCTCACATCCTTTCTCTACACATTAATTATTTTTTAGTGTTACTGTTGTTGTTGTATTTGTTCTTATCTCATTACATATTTTATATATATATTGCGTATATATCTAAATAGAAATTGAAATTTAGCTACATGTACTACATTATATTGTGATTGAAGGATTGTAAATACAAGTTTTGATGTCCAAAGACAATTGGACACTGAGTTACATGAACTTCAATGTTTTGGATTATTATGAATGCTCTTTTGGGATATCTTCCATTCAATGAGTCATGATTGTAAATACAAGTGTTGTTGTCCTAAGACAATTGGACACTAAGTTACATGTTCCTCAATGTTTTTGAATTATTATGAATGCTCTTTTGGGATAACTTCCATTCAATGAGTCATGATTGTAAATACAAATTTTTGATGTCCAAAGACAATTGGACACTAAGTTACATGTTCTTCAATGTTTTTGAATTATTATGAATGCTCTTTTGGGATATCTTCCATTCAATGAGTCATGATTGTAAATACAATTTGTTGATGTCCAAAGACAATTGGACACTAAGTTACATGTTCTTCAATGTTTTTGAATTATTATGAATGCTCTTTTGGGATATCTTCCATTCAATGAGTCATGATTGTAAATACAAGTTTTGATGTGACAATTGGACACTGAGTTATATGTTCTTCAATGCTTTTGAATTATTATGAATGCTCTTTTGGGATATCTTCCATTCAATGAGTCATGATTGTAAATACAAGTGTTGTTGTCCTAAGACAATTGGACACTAAGTTACATGTTCTTCAATGTTTTTGAATTATTATGAATGCTCTTTTGGGATATCTTCCATTCAATGAGTCATGATTGTAAATACAAGTTTTGATGTGACAATTGGACACTGAGTTACATGTTCTTCAATGTTTTTGAATTATTATGAATGCTCTTTTGGGATATCTTCCATTCAATGAGTCATGATTGTAAATACAAGTGTTGTTGTCCAAAGACAATTGGACACTAAGTTACATGTTCTTCAATGTTTTTGAATTATTATGAATGCTCTTTTGGGATAACTTCCATTCAATGAGTCAGGATTGTAAATACAATTTGTTGATGTCCAAAGACAATTGGACACTAAGTTACATGTTCTTCAATGTTTTTGAATTATTATGAATGCTCTTTTGGGATATCTTCCATTCAATGAGTCATGATTGTAAATACAAGTTTTGATGTGACAATTGGACACTGAGTTATATGTTCTTCAATGCTTTTGAATTATTATGAATGCTCTTTTGGGATATCTTCCATTCAATGAGTCATGATTGTAAATACAAGTTTTGATGTGACAATTGGACACTGAGTTATATGTTCTTCAATATTTTTGAATCATTATGAATGCTCTTTTGGGATATCTTCCATTCAATGAGTCATGATTGTAAATACAATTTGTTGATGTCCAAAGACAATTGGACACTAAGTTTCATGTTCTTCAATGTTTTTGAATTATTATGAATGCTCTTTTGGGATATCTTCCATTCAATGAGTCATGATTGTAAATACAAGTTTTGATGTGACAATTGGACACTGAGTTACATGTTCTTCAATGCTTTTGAATTATTATGAATGCTCTTTTGGGATATCTTCCATTCAATGAGTCATGATTGTAAATACAATTTGTTGATGTCCAAAGACAATTGGACACTAAGTTACATGTTCTTCAATGTTTTTGAATCATTATGAATGCTCTTTTGGAATAGCTTCCATTTAATGAGTCATGAATGTAAATACAAGTTTTGATGTCCTAAGAGACTTGGACACTGAGTTACATGTTCTTCAATGTTTTTGAATTATTATGAATGCTCTTTTGTGATATCTTCCATTCAATGAGTCATGATTGTAAATACAATTTGTTGATGTCCAAAGACAATTGGACACTAAGCTACATGTTCTTCAATGTTTTTGAATTATTATGAATGCTCTTTTGGGATATCTTCCATTCAATGAGTCATGATTGTAAATACAAGTTTTGATGTCCAAAGACAATTGGACACTGAGTTACATGTTCTTCAATGCTTTTGAATTATTATGAATGCTCTTTTGGGATATCTTCCATTCAATGAGTCATGATTGTAAATACAAGTTTTGATGTCCAAAGACAATTGGACACTAAGCTACATGTTCTTCAATGTTTTTGAATTATTATGAATGCTCTTTTGGGATATCTTCCATTCAATGAGTCATGATTGTAAATACAATTTTTTGATGTCCAAAGACAATTGGACACTGAGTTACATGTACTTCAATGTTTTTGAATTATTATGAATGCTCTTTTGGAATATCTTCCATTCAATGAGTCATGATTGTAAATACAAGTTTTGTTGTTCTAAAACACTTGAACACTGAGTTAAATGTACTTCAGTGTTTTTTAATTATATTTATGCTCTTTTATGATGGCTTCCATTCAATGAATCAGAATTGTAAATATGCAAGTGGAAGGGTATCCAAACCACCAAAGAGGCTGCAAATGTTTCAGTTCAGTTTAGCTCATGGACTACTAGTAGATTGTTGCCTATCTATTTATAATGGATGAAGTTAAAGTAGTACGATCCCTCTTTGCCTGGTGATTGATCACCGTGTATTCATTGATAGTCAGGCACCCTGGATAATCATTTTCATTGAAAATGTTCACTGTAAATCAAATGACACCAACATTTCAATAGCATCCACAGATAATCAATTCAATATTGTATTACTGTAGTACCAACTATACTATACATGTTGCCCAGTTTAAATGATAAGATTAAAAAGAGTCCATGTGTGAATTTAGAAAAAAATTCAGAAAGAGATCCACATTATAAATCAGTAAAGGATAGTTGTCTATTCACTCCAATAACAACATTGACTTTAGACCCCCCCCCCCCCCACTCAGTGTTTTTAGGGTACGCGTATGCATGTTCCCTCCTTTTGAAAACACCCCCTAAGTCCGGTGTGTAAAGTCAATACGGGCCAGATTTTTGTGTACTACGAGCCGGACTTTGGTGCATGGAAAGTACCCCTTTATCGGACATTTTGGGAACATGCATGCGGTCCCACCGACCCCGGAGTGGGGGGGGGGGGCGGGACTGTATATTAATATGGTAACAGAGGAGGAAATAGAAATCAAGTAATAATAAGTTAATGACTATTTGATTAACTGCTTAGTTTAAGAACCCAATCGATGACTTAAACAACCCATCATACTTTGAAGAAGATACACGGATAAAGAAATAGACATGATACACTCTCTCATTGTAATAGATATGTGTGTAAATAGCAACCCAAAGACAGGAACACAGCACAAAAATATTAGCTTTGTCAGAATGGCTTCCATTCGATGAGTCATCGGGTTTGTAAATACAAGTTGTTGTTGTCCCAAGAAACTTGAATACTGAGTTACATGTACTTCAATGTTTTTGAATTAATATTGTGTTCCTTTATGATGGCTGAATGAATATCTCTCCAGTTACAAAAAGGAGTACTTGATGAAAATGTTTTATTATATTAAATAATGTCTTTTTGTATGTTTGTTTGCGTTATTTTTCTCACAGATTTCCAAATGACAGTAAATCACAGGTTTGAAATTGGTATCCAGCTCGACAAAAAGAATGAAAGAAAACGATCTCACATCAGTGATTATTCATTCCATGTTTGTGTTTATTGTAGTCATGCTGCTGTTATTTATTTTCCTCTCCATATATAAATGGAATCACATTACACCATGAATCACTGAAATGAGTTGCTATGCTCCTTTATGTCTCATGTCATACCATACTGAAAATGTGATAGAGAAAAGCAACCTTTGCTGTAACTGTCTTTTGCACAAACCATTTGGGAAGTATGTGTAAGTGTTAAACATTGTACATGTACATGTATTTGCAATATGTTCATAAAGTTGCAGGTCATTAAATTCAGTACTATGTTTTGGATAGATGAACTCATGAATTATATCTGGCTACTTGAATGTTTGCCGTATATGCTTCATGTTTACTACATTTGTATTAATTTTCATGCTGTTTTGGCAATTTGGTCATCTACTTTTCTCAATCCTTGCAGTCAGTAAAATAGGGACTAACCAAACCCATGTCTCATCATCTCAAAGTAAGAAATACAAATACAAATAGTGAGAAAACAAAAACTGTTGCAACATTGTTGCCAAATATATTTTCTCATCTCTGGAATATGAAGTTAGATTGATACAAATTTCTTGTTATAACCATCCTACTTTTATCATAATTCTTAACTGTAACTCGCCTGACTTCAGCATAATGTTTGAAATACCTGTTCGACTGTTTATTTTGATTCTATTAATGATGACAGTAACGGTGAAATATGTATGATTCAAGAGTCTCTTATCTAAGTCAAAGTTTCCCCAGTCACTTTTTTTAAAACCGAACTATGCAAATATATTTTACGCTTCCTGTATTTCCTTCCCATTTGAATGTAAATGTATCATACTATATCGCAATGCATTTTAGCATGAAGCTATACTCATACAAGTAAAAACTAGAATTTTTAAGGTTTCATGAATTTCGCTTTCCTAAATAAAATGATTGTACAAGATTGCATTATGATTAAGAGTAGGAAAGATATTTATTGATGCCAAATGCCAAAAAATGTCATATTATGTTTACCTTTTGCACCGGATTGCAAGTGCTGTTGAATTAAATACAGCATTACTGAGTAAAAAATTGTCTCCTAGTGCTTTTTTGATGAAAATTTCTTTGTAAAAAGTTGGTAGATAGATCGGTTGATTTGAGAGTTTTGCTGGAAGACTGTGTCTGTGTGCTAGTGACAATTTTTAAAAGCGGAAGGTGGAACATCCATATTCTTGGATGGGATACTTGTTAGAAACTGATAACAAGGTCATTTTCATGGCCCCATTGTCCTTGTTATAACAAGTTCCCACTCTAGTCTGTTTGGCAAATATGAATTGTTTGCGACACTGGGGCAAGTTGGCAGTAACATATCCTGTATGTTATGAAGAACACCAAGTTTGCCTTTTGAGGAAGAGTCAAACCTGTTTCAATGTCTCTTTGATTAAAAGCAGAACAATCAAAAAGGGAGAGCGAGAGAGAGAGAGAGAGGAAAAATATATGTAATTTCAAACATTCTACTCAAAGGGCATCAAATTGACAACGTGGTCAAGTCTGTGAGGTCATGGATCCATGTCTACTACTTGACTTGGTAATGAGATGTTACAAATTACCATCTCTATCTTAAATATTTTTAGGGTAATGTGTCATTGCAGGTTAATACCCCCTTCACATACACAGATTTTTCTTATGAGTCCTTACGGATCGCCAACTCGTAGTTAATCGCAAGCATCTGAGATTTGCTGGTATTCGTAAATAACTCGTCACAACTCGTAAAAACTCGTAAGGATCCATGAAAGGAGAGGCAATTTTTTGACATGTCAAAAATCTTCTTACGATGGTCCACGGATTTATTTTCCCGTAAATAGCTCGTAACAATTCTTAAGTATCGTAAATCGCTCGCAACACGTAACCATCTGTAAACTGCTCGTAAGAATCCATAGATGACTCGTAACCAAAAAATTTAACGATTTGTTATGGTTTATGATTTATTTACGGATTATTTACGAGTGCTTACGTGTTGTTTACCATTTCATTCGGGCCGTGTAACGATGGCTTTACGTATCATTACGGGTTATAACAAGCACTTTACGTGTAGTTACGAGTACTTTACGAATAGATACGTATACTTTACGTATGCTTACAAAATGTTTACGATTTGGGGAAAGGTATAAAAGCTGCAAATTCGAACACTTCATTTTCAGCTATTATTTTTGGGCTAAAAATCATAAGGACTCATAAATATCCGTAACTAACTCGTATCTAATACGTCAGTTGCTCATAGTTATCTGTGTCAACTCATAACAAACCTTGCACTTTTGCCGTAAATACATCGTAATAACTCGTAACAACTCTTAAATCAATCGCAAATGTGGCCAAATCGTAAGGATCTGTAGATGATGTCAGTAGTTCTAGCATCTTCTCACAATTTAATAATGAACTCCTAGATAACAAAAACATAAAATTAAATCAATGAGATGTTTCACAATAGTTTTATAACCACTGTTTATATCTTAAATTTTTTTTATAACTCGGAAGGAATAATTCAGCACTTTTGCCGTAAATACATCGTAATAACTCGTAATAGACTGTGATAAACCGTAAATATCTCGTAATAACTCGTAACAACTCTTAGATCGATCGCAAAAGTGGCCAAATCGTAAGGATCTGTAGATGATCCATGAACTTGTGCGATCCGTAAGGAATTGTAAGAAAAATCTGTGTATGTGAAGGGGGTATTATGCACCAATAAAACTAAAACAGGATTCTTCTGAAAATTGTATTTGAAGTCGTGCCACCACAGCTACATGACAAAATTGCATATATAGTTGGCCGACTCCTACTCGAAGTTAGATTTTTTCTTTATTTCTTTTTTAAAACCTCCTGTTCCTATCTGTTCTACTATGATACCCCCTTCACATACACAGATTTCTCTTACGAGTCCTTAAAGATCGCACCAGTTCACAGTTGGTGATCCGTAAGGACTCGTAAGAAACATCCATGTATGTGAAGGGGGTATTAGACGGCTCAAAAGAAAAACAATAAAAAGAGACTTGACCTAACATTGAATACAGTAAAAATAAATACACACAGACATACAAAAATCAAAGCTAACAATAAAAGAAAAATAATGTTGGATTTACTTTATTGCACTTGTTAAAAGGCAATCATGCTTTTATACACAAAAGAGATATTTACTATTGTGGAAAGGCGTGAACCATTGTGACCAAGAACCCCCCCCCCCCCCCCACCAAACAAACATTGCAGAAAAACAGACATTTGGAAAGACAAATAATAAATGAGATGCTTGAAAGAGATGAATGGAAATACAACTAGGCCTACCTGATTAACAATAACAATGGTTTCTCATAAAGCTTTTTTGGGTCACAACGTAAATGTAACTGACCAAGGTGCTAACAGCATTTTTACCCTCATCTTTTTACGGGTGTGAACATGCTTAACACTAACCTAAAGGGAAAGTCTACCCTGTTATTAAGTTGGTTTTAATAAAAGCAGAAAAATGAGAGAAACCGCTCAGTAAAAGCTTGAGCCAAAACTGATTAAAAATTAGAATGCTATGAATTTTTGAAGGTGTGATCAATCAAATCAAAATTGGCAACTCTGTGACAAATCTTTGCGAGCTCCCCTCCCATTTTCCCAGTACTATAACACTTTAAAAAATGTCTAGTTTCCCTCATGAAAATTTTAAATCAGTCATTAACCCTAAATAAAATTATCTCACATACGTTTTTATACATCCCCTATATGAGAAAATTCATTCTGTCACCAATATCTAAGGAAATTAAGTTTATAAAATTTTCTGTATAGAGAAAATTGGAGAGGAGCTCGCAAAATACGTAACTGATAACAAATTCAAAATTCATAACTTTCCTATTTTAATTGAATTTTGCTCAAACTTCCACTAATTTGCCTCTCTCATTTTTCTGCTTTTATCAAAACCAAAAAAAATATCAGGGTGGACTTCCCCTGTTAAACTAAAAGGGATGAGGGAGGCAGATTCCACCCCCTACCCCTTGCCATGATACGATTGAGGTTTTTTTTTTGCTGCAAGCTTTCGTGACTTTATCGCATAGAGTCTGGCACATTTTTTAATACCAGATTTTTCATATCAGATTTACACAATTTTGACCCGAAAAGGTACTGCACCCCATATGTATTGTACACTCAGAAAGTTGATCACCAATCAGTAAATTGAATCTTGCCTGACATGTCACCATAATGCATGAATTTCAATATCAGATTCTTCAGAATTTGCCATTCAAGGATGACCAGTTGGGAAACAAAAGCTTCAATGTCATTAACAAAAATCACACTTGTGTCAAAGAAAAAAAGAGTGCTATGCATACCAATACCATGCAGTGATCACCTCTTTACCCCGCCCTATATTATGTTGTGCTACTCACTCTCTGGCTGGAAAATTGTTAAGATATGGCGTCATTTTTAAGAGGAATAGACACAATTTCTAATGATAATAATCAAGTGATGATTAATTATGCCACGACGAGAGAGCTAAAAATAATTGATTCAACTTGAGTGTTCAAACTGTTTTTAAGGGGCTTATATTCTAAACTGATAGGAGGCCAATCACTACAGTTGTCTCTACATGTAAGGGTATCACATGCGAGGTTAATTTCCTCTTTAATTAGTCATCATGATTTGCTATTTTTCATTGCTTCTTGGATGAAACTAAAGGCATCTCTACTTGCTCCTGCTTTCTGCTTCTCATCATCATTGTCCACAACAAATCCAAACCCCGTGGTTGGTTTTTTGGCAAGATTGATCGGTGTCGAGGTCATCCCACTCAGGGTGATCGATGATAGCTGAGGGTACATCTGGGAAATATGCTGTGCTGACATGACTGGCTGTTGTAAGGTCATGCTAGGATGAGGATGTTGTGAAGGCATATCAACCTGTGGCGTTGCTGTACTGAGCTGTGAGAGAACTTGGTTTGATGAAGCCTTTGGGTCAGAAGATGCTTCCTTGGGGGACACCGTGTTCCACAGGTCAGCGAACCCTGCCTCTCTGGATATTATAGGATCCATCCTACTGTGCTGAGATGCCTCTGGATCAACAGATTTCTGGTGTACTGGTGTTGCTGCAGGGTTTACATTACTTAAGCTATAAGCAGCAGGTGCACTCATTACCTGTGTGAACTCTCCTTCTGTTCGATTATTTGTTACTGAACTTGGCTTAGTGTCAGAAAGGAGTAAGTTTGTTTCTGACGAGTCTGACTTTGACATGAACTGGGTGTCTATTAGCAGATCAGCTACTGAATGTCCTTCTTTAGCTTCCTTGTGCCTACTGGCAGAACTCGAAGACATCCCTGTTGAGGTCTTCCCTCCAGGAGCTACTGGCGATCTGGTCGCTATGGTCATACCACTGAACAAAGATCCTCCAGATGATTTTGGTGCTCCGTCTGAGGAAGAAAAGGCATCTCTTGGCAGAACAGTTTTTACTGGAGTTGTGTTAGCCGAGGATGCTGGTATTTCAGCCTCAGCAGCTTCTAATACTGACTGGAAGATGATCTGGCTCTCCGGTATCAGTGGCTGATCTAGACTGGTGTCTGCTTCAAGCCTCTCCAACTGACGTAAAATCTGAAAAAAGAAAGAATTGAGACAGGACTTTAATGAAAAAAAAAAAAAAAGTTCCATAGGTGACAAGCAAAAGGCTTTAGGATTACACAGTGAATCTTACTACACATGCATTTGTTCTGATAATTATGATAAATAAACATCTCCATGGATATTTGAACCATCTGCATTTCTACCCTGTGCCTCACTTGGAAGGGTGCTTAGCCTGTGCTCAGTGATTAAAGGAAACCTCACCTCAAAGAATAAGTGTAGGTATTCTGAAAGCTGAGATTTATTCCTGCCTATTGATGTAGAATATTCCTTATGAAAATACAGGAGATATACAAATGAAGATATACATGGTATGATGTAATGACTTTTGGCATGACATGGGTGCAGCTAATTTCTTTATAATATGATGTGCAATCACTACACAAACTTCGAAAAGAAGCTACCATAAATTTGAATGCATTTACTTGACAAACGACTAAAGTACGTCATGTTATCAAGAAAATGGAGACGCCAATGAGGGTTGAGGGCAGTTCCTCTAAATGAAAATTATGAGATCTGATTGAAACGAATCTGCAACAAAAAAAAATACACAGACCCACACCCACCCACCCACCATGAATATTCATAGACATAAGTGTGAATATGCATTCATATGAATATCCATACCTTGAGAGACTTTGCCCTGATAGCTTTATCTTGACTACACTGCATTGATGTAAGATGAGAGCTGAGAAGACTAAGAGCCAAGTCGGACGAGATCAAATCCTCTTTCAGAATGCCTTCGACGCCAAACAAACAAAGCTGGAAAATATAAAAATACAACAGTAAAACAATTAGAATTTCAAAGCAAAATCTTTAGGCCCAAATGAATTTAATAATTCAAGTTTCTTGTCCCCTTTTCTATACTTTTTACTTTTAAAAATATAAACATGAATGAGTAGAATAGAAGTTACTAGATGAAAGACTGTAATACATTATTGAAACCGTATATCCAAACTCCATATTGTTGTTTTAGTCTGGTATTATTGTCAATTGATTGGAAATATAAAATGGTATAAACGAACCCCACCTTGTTTATCAGAAAAATGCCAATAACAATGGTTAGAGTATAATGGGCAATTAAGGTTTAGCTCCGATTAATCATAAAAGCAAGGTTATTGATTATCAAAGATAAAAAAATAGAAAATAATTAATAGAAGTGATATTATGTGTCAATTTAATCATTGATTTTTACTATCTGTCCTGCTGTCTGAACCTGCTTAGATATATAAAACAAAACAACCCTACATGTTAAAGAATTAAAGTTTAATATGATATCACTTTGTTTCACAATGAAAATCATCCACAATGAATTTAATTATTCCCCCTATATATAAACAACATTTAAATGGCTGTGAGTAATTGTGTATGAGGATGAGGTGTGCAGATATGTGATTATGTTTCATACATCATCATGCTATCCTGCAGGCTTGATGGAGTGGACTTTGGACCTGACATTCACAGAGAATGTGATCTATGCACCATATGGGCTGTTCACACACAAAGCATAACCACATTTAAAATATAATTTAATGTATTGCACCCCCCCCCCCTTCTTTCTCTCTCTCTCTTTCTCTCTCTCCGTCTCTCTGTCTCTCTCTCTCTGTCTCTCTGTCTCTCTCTCTCTCCCTCTCTCTCTCTAAATACACACACACACACACAAATATACTATGAAAAGAAATGAGATAATAATGGTCACATAGCTTAAATCAAGCTCCTCATTGCTGCCCTTTGATGTAAGCTTCTCTAAAAAAATTAAACAGCTGTGTGTGGTTTTCATTGAGGCTGCATATAACTTCATGTTTTACAAGGAGAATCTTTAAGCAATCTGAAAACAAAAGAGTTAGGTAAGTCTATAATTTTTTTTAAAAATCTATATCCAATGGTTAATGATGATGTATATGTATTGTAATTTGATTTAGAGTGAAAATCTCAACATCAGTGATTGCTTTATATAATTATATATTATAAATCTAGAGAATGATATAAGTATTTCAGATGTTCTACATAAAGAGAACAACTCAATGAGCATTTTCCTTTCAAGACTACAGCTAAACAATTTATCAATCTCTATTTCTTTGCAAGACCATCTCTATTGCATGAACATATATGATATTATACATACTCACAAAGATGTACATACAAAAAAAGTCTGAACTTCAAGCACCTATTGGTGATCCATTCTTTCCTCTGAGGTTTGCTGTTTATGTTCTTTATATACACATATATGGAGGTGCTGTGGTATGGTTCATTCCCTTGACTCTCAATCCAAGGGTTAAGGGTTTGAATCCCAGCATGGCACTAACCCATTTTGACAAGAGATTAAAACACATTTGGCACCCTCTACCCAGATGTATCGGGCGATTGCTGGGATAAATGCAATTGCAGGACCTACAGGAAGAACAGCACTGATGCTGATGAGGCTTCCCTGGGTTTATAAACAAATATATTGTATCATTACCCAGTAATATATGGTAACAGATTGGGTTTTGACAGGGCTTTAGGTTGTATTTTGGGTTGGTAAGGCTTTTAAAGAGGTAGGTATAGTATTGGGTCCAGAGTGGAAGTGAGTAAATTAGCAAGAGCTTGTGACCATAGAGAAACTATCACCAACATTTATGTTGTACGATCTACCTACCTGTACTCTATTTTTTCTTCTGACACATCCAGGCAATTAACTGAAATGACACTTTGTGCACCTGCATCTACTCTAATGGCACCTACTCTACCACCACTGAATCCAACATGGAGAGATGCAGTCTGCAGGTTTTTGCTGATTTATCAAAGTGAAATGAAGCCTGACCATTGAGAATTAGGGAATTATTCAGTCCTGGTTGATGGATCAACTTTTGCTGAACTTCTAATTGCTGAATCTGATAAATTTTACAAGCTGAGAATATCCAGTTTACAAATCTATCAGAAACAAAAGCTAGATCGAACACAATACAGTACATTACTGGTACAATTACTGCAGAATTCATGCCTGTGTATATGTAAGAGAACCAGCTGATGGAATTGAACTGATCAAGAATTGATAGCATTTTGAATAACTGGCTTGCTTTTGGCCACTGTCCATTTCCATCTGGACATGTTCTATTGAGTTGGATTTCATAGGTGAACCATTACTGGTCGTGAATGAAAGACAATTCTGACGATCACTTTCTCCTCTTTGCAGTTACTGAAGATCTACTGAGGGTTTTTTTTTTTTTTTTTTTGGGGGGGGGGGGGGGGAATCAGAATCAAACCATAATTCAAAATGTTGAAAGTTTTGTTTCATTCCTTGACTGGTGGATTTAAAATCTTAATATTATTCATTTCTATCATACTCATTAATCTATTTCAAGGGTGGCCAACCTGGGGCCCGCGGGCCACATGCGGCCCGCGAGCTCTTCTTGTGCGGCCCGCGGAGCATTGAAAACGTAATTATAAAAATAGTATATGAATGAAATGCGGCCCGCATAACAGCGATGAAATAGAGTAAAACATTTACACACAGCTATCTTTATTTCCATAATTTGTTTTCATCATTCACAACATATTGATTCATTACGTGGCTTATACAAAACTCCTCAAATTCCCTCTCATTACATTACATTAACGATATTAACATCACTCGCCGTGTTAATTTCAGTTTGTTATTTCCACATGCAGTAACCTTTGTAAATATACAAATAATAACAATAATAATAATCTTTTAAAATCCACTCCAAATGTTATTAAGTAAAACCGAAAATGGAAATTCTTTTTGCCCAATCGATCGTGAATCAAGAAATATGTTTGAAATGCCATACTTGTCTTAAAACGTACAACCCTTTTCTCCCGCCGTTTAATTTTTTCATTAATCTTAATCGTGGATAGTCCCCTTATATTCTTTCTGCTGTGTCATTGATTTTGTTTGAAATAACAACCAACATGGCATCGATTTCGAGACGTGCGAAGAAAAGGAAAGTCTCTGATGAAGACAGAAACTTTAAATCGGATTGATCTCTGAAGTATTTCTTCATAGAAGAGAAAGGTAAACAACTTTGCCTCATATTTTGTCAGCCAGAAATCACACTACAAAAGTAAGCCTGATTTTGTTCGACTGATTTTGTTGTTTGCAAAATTGCAGGTGTGTACATGAGTGTGTGTGTGTGGGGGGGGGGGGGAGGGATTTCAGATTTGGTTTTGACGGGGTGTGCCGCTGAAGCCTCGTAACCTCTACCCATTTTTAAGGGTTGTTTTGGCAGATTTTTGTTGAAAGTAAAGCCCTTTTTATAAAAATTTCGGGTGTTTGCATGGTTAAAACCCTGAATTTTTTTTAAATAATTTTTTTTGAAAACACGGACCCATATTTAGGATATTTTTGTTAAAAATGGGACCCAAGTTTAGGGATTCTTTTTGTAAAAAAGGTTACCCATTAGAGCGGCACACCCCGTATGTCTCAATATGTGATTACCCCCCCCCCCCCCCCGCCTGGCCTACGGCCCGCCAAGTTATGACAATCGTTAGATGTGGCCCGCGAGCTTTAAAAGGTTGGCCACCCGTGATATAATGTACTTTGTTTACGACATTCTAAAAAACTTATGATCCAATTTATTATCCAAGGTCTTATGTGCATATTAACCATTCTTTCAATTAGAATATTGTGATCCAAGCAATCAAAAGCCTTTTTAAAATCTGTACATACAGTAGTTGATATAGACCTGTTGTTTTCTGCATGTTTATAAAGATGATGTAAAAGGCCAACAAGATACGTGTGTGCATGTATCCTCATGCATTGCATTAGAGGGACAAGGTCATTACGAATAGATACAGACTGTGAGTGAGTGTTTGTGTGTGTGTGTAACTGTGCATGAGGGTGGGGTGTGCATGTATGCCAGCTCGACAAAATATTCCAAATCTCCTAAAGATCTTTAATCTTGATATTTTTACCTTTAACCTAAAGGTGTCTCTAATCTTCATTTGTAGCCTAAGTGGAGGGTTGTATCTGCAGATTATTAAATGTGTTATCAACATGAAACCCCAACTTAATATTTACAAACCAATTTCCAAGTCAATATATATATATATATATGCACTTCATCGATACATTTCATCTCTGGTTTGCAAACTGTGTTATGTAGTATGATTATATTTTGTGGTTGTTTATGAATAATTTTCTTTGATATCAATTTCAAACCTCTTACCATCAGTTATACTTTCCTTTTTGTTGTTTTTTATTAGCTTTAGGCCTTTGTTTGGAGTGTGTGAATGTGTGTGCATCAGGCGCGGATCCAGGATTTCTTAGGGGTGGGGGCCCAATTTTTTTCTTTTTCCTCCCGATAACCCCTTGAGCGCCGGGGGGGGGGGGGCATCTCCCCAAAAAAGTAAATTAACCGTGTTTGTACACGTTTTTTTCCCCCTGGATCCGCCACTGGTGTGCATGAGGGTGAGGTGTGCAACTCGCATATGTCATTATGTTTCATACATCATCATGCTATCCTGCAGGCTTGTTTGTGTGGACTTTGGACCTAACATTCAAGCGCAGAGAGGATTTCATCATCTTTATACCACAAGGGCTGTTCACACACTGACAAAGCATCACAAAATTATCAATAACCTGCCAAAGAAAGTCCAAGCAAATAGTACATGATTCAACCGACCGCTCAATGCATTCACTTGCACTCAGGGTCGCTATTCATAATACGACGAGAGGGTCGCTATTCATAATAAGAAATGAGGTTCATTACTTATAAGGGTCGCTATTCATAACACGGAAAGAGGGCCGCTATTCATAATACGAAATGAGGGTCGCTATTCATAATAGGATAAAAGGGTCGCTATTCATAATAGGAGAAGAGGGTCGCTATTCATAATAGGAGAAGAGTAACAGGAGAAGAGGGTCGCTATTCATAATACGAAATGAGGGTCGCTATTCATAATACAAAATGAGGGTCGCTATTCATAATAGAAGTAGAGGGTCGCTATTCATAACACGAAATGAGGGTCGCTATTCATAATACAAAATGAGGGTCGCTATTCATAATACAAAATGAGGGTCGCTATTCATAATAGAAGTAGAAGGTCGCTATTCATAATATGAGGTGAGGGTCGCTATTCATAATACGAAATGAGGTTCGCTATTCATATAGAAGTAGAGGGTCGCTATTCATAATAGGAGATGAGGGTCGCTATCCATAATACGAAATGAGGTTCGCTATTCATAATAGGAGAAGAGGTTTGCTATTCATAACAGGAGAAGAGGGTCGCTATTCATAATACAATATTTTTCTTTCTTTTTCCTCCCGATAACCCCTTGAGCGCCGGGGGGGGGGGGGGCATCTCCCCAAAAAGGTAAATGTACCGTGTTTGTACTCGTTTTTTCCCCCTGGATCCGCCACTGGTGTGCATGAGGGTGAGGTGTGCAACTCGCATATGTCATTATGTTTCATACATCATCATGCTATCCTGCAGGCTTGTTTGTGTGGACTTTGGACCTAACATTCAAGCGCAGAGAGGATTTCATCATCTTTACACCATAAGGGCTGTTCACACACTGACAAAGCATAATCACAAAATTATCAATAACCTGCCAAAGAAAGTCCAAGCAAATATATACAGTACCTGATTCAACCGACCGCTCAATGCATTCACTTGCACTCAGGGTCGCTATTCATAATACGACGAGAGGGTCGCTATTCATAATAAGAAATGAGGTTCATTACTTATAAGGATCGCTATTCGTAACACGGAAAGAGGGTCGCTATTCATGATACGAAATGAGGGTCGCTATTCATAATAGGATAAAAGGGTCGCTATTCGTAATAGGAGAAGAGGGTCGCTATTTATAATACAAAATGAGGGTCGCTATTCATAATAGAAGTAGAAGGTCGCTATTCACAATAGGAGATGAGGGTCGCTATTCATAATACGAAATGAGGTTCGCTATTCATAATATGAGATGGGGTCGCTATTTATAATACAAAATGAGGTTCGCTATTCATAATAGGAGTAGAGGGTCGCTATTCATAATAGGAGATGAGGGTCGCTATTCATAATACGAAATGAGGTTCGCTATTCATAATAGGAGTAGAGGGTCGCTATTCATAATACGAAATGAGCGTCGCTATTCATAATACAAAATGAGGGTCGCTATTCATAATAGGAGATGAGGGTCGCTATTTGTAGTACGAAATGAGATTCGCTATTCATAATAGGAGATGAGGGTCGCTATTCATAATACAAAATGAGGTGCGCTATTCATAATAAGAGAAGAGGATCGCTCTTCATAATACGAAATGAGGGTCGCTATTCATAATAGGAGAAGGGTTCGCTTTTCATAATAGGATTGAGCGCCGGGGGGGGGGGCATCTCCCAAAAAAGGTAAATTTACTGTGTTTGTACACGTTTTTTCCCCCTGGATCCGCCACTGCATGTGCATGAGGGTGAGGTGTGCAACTCGCATATCATTATGTTTCATACATCATCATGCTATCCTGCAGGCTTGTTTGTGTGGACTTTGGACCTAACATTCAAGCGCAGAGAGGATTTCATCATCTTTACACCATAAGGGCTGTTCACACACTGACCGCTCAATGCATTCACTTGCATGTTGGAAATTGCAGGCGCCGGTACTGAGGTATATGTGGTTTTCATTGGAGCTGCATATAACTTCATGTTTTACAAGAAGAATCTTTAAGCAACAAAATGATCTGAAGACAACGAGTTAGGTAAGTGTATAATTTGTTTTTCTTGACCATCTCTGCTGCATGAGCGAATGATACTACCGAATCACAAAGAAGTATATCAAAATAAAGTCAGAGTATATCTGTTCTGAACTTAAAGTACCTACTGGGCTATTGGTGATCCATTCTTTGCTCCAAGCTTTATGTACTGTTTTGATCTCAAAACATATATGGAGGTGTCATGGTATAGTGGTTCATTCCCTTGAATCTCAATCCAAGGGGATAAGGGTTTGAATCCCACCCTGGCACTAACATCTTATGGCAAGAGATTAAACCACATGTGCCACTCTTCACTTAGATGTAAATGGGTACCTGGCAATTGCTGGCATAAAATTAATTGATGCAGGGAGAACAGCACTGATGCTAATGAGGCTATCTTCCCTTGGTAAACAAAATTATTATACTATCACCAGCATATGGTAATAATAATAATAATAATAATGGGTTCTTGTATAGCGCTCATGTCAGTCAGATTTGACCCTCCTGGCTCTCCCGATTGGGTTATGATAGGGTTTTAGGTTATAGTTTGGGTTGGTAAGACTATAGAGCTAAGGGATAGGTATACAGTGTTGGGTCCTGGGTGGAAAATATATAAATTAGCAATAGCTAGTGATCATAGACCAACTTTATCACCACAATTTGTGTCGTACAATCCACCTACTCTAATTTTTCTTCTAATTCCAGGCAACTGATTACGTGCATCTAAAGCTACTCCAATGGCCATTTCTACACCACATCTGAATCCTAAATGGAGATATATGTTCAGCAGGTTATCGCTGTTTCATGAAATTGAAATTGCGCCTGATGATAAAGGAAGAGAATTAGTCAGAATCTTCAGTTGACAGATCCATCAAAAAAAAAACTGGAACACAAAACAGTACATTGCGCCTACAGTTACTGCAGAATTCATGCCTGTGTATGTGACAGAACCAGATTATGTATGAATGCTAGCTAAAGCATAGATTGTTTACATTTTGGACACATCATACCATCTGAAAATTTGCTATTGAGTTGGATGTCAAAGGTGCAACATAACTGTTTGTGAATTATATAGAATTCTGACAATCATTTTCTCCTCTTCGCAGTTTCTGAAGAACCTTTCAGTATTTTGGAGGGAAATCTGAACCTAACCCTAATTCAATATGTTGAAAGTTTTGTTTCATTCCTTGACCGGTGGATTTAATATTCCATTATTATTAATTTCTATTATTCTCATAAATCTATATGGATGTAAATCCACAACATTATATAAAATACAAGGGCAAGAAGCTAACTTGATTTTCCCATATCCATGTGACAGTACAGAAGTCACTTTACAGCATTCGCTCAGCGCCCCATTTTATCGCTCGACAGACGGGTCAGCGCTGTCATTGCCTCGAGTTCAGCTCCAAAGATTCCAAGTGCAGAATAGAAACAAAAATGGAAACTGCTCTCTGGATCTTACAATAACTAATCTAATGAGAAATGATGCAGGGAAATACATCTCATCGGTTTACAAGGAT